GATTTTGCTGCAGGTCCGCTTGGAAGAGCAAAGAAAGAATCATGGGATGATGAAGTGAATGATGAAATAAAGAAGAATTTTTTAAAATGGGGAAAACAACTGAAATACCTCAAAAATATAAAAATTCCAAGATGGTTAGGTGTGATGAAGGAATCCAATTTAAGTATCCATACTTTTGTCGATGCCAGCAAGACAGCTTATGCGGCATGCATTTTCTTAAGAAGTGAATCCAGTATGGGTTCAGTGACTGTTCAATTACTTCAAGCCAAATCACGAATAACTCCAACGAAGACTATTACTATACCACGACTTGAACTAATGGCTGCTACCATAGGTGCTAGGCTGTTTAGTTCTGTGAAGCAAGCTCTAAAACTTCCCAACATCAAGACTTACTTTTGGACAGATTCTTCCACAGTTCTTGTGTGGATAACTCGTCGAGAACAGTGGTCGGTATTCGTTACAAACAGAATAAGTGAAATTAGAAAATTGACAATTTCGGAAGATTGGTTCCATATTTCAACTGACCAGAATCCAGCAGACATTTTGTCAAGAGGTTGTGGACCTAGGCAACTTCAGAAACGCAAGTGGTGGCAAGGGCCAGCCTGGTTGAAGAATCCGAAGGAGCAGTGGCCAAAGTCAGCTGTAAATATTAACGAAAAAGAAGAAGTAGAGATAGAGAAACGAAAGTCAGTCATCTCTGCTAGTAACACAGAGCTAGAGTCAATTCCATTACAGTTAGCCAGAAGATTCTCTAGATTTTCAAAGATGATTAGGGTTATGGCTTGGATACTGCGTTTTCAACCAAAGGCCAAGGACTTAAGAAATGTAAGGAACTTCAAAATGAAGAATTGTTAAATGCACAAAGGACTATTTTCCGTGTAATACAAAAGGAATGTTACTCCAATGAAGAAAGAAACACGAAAAAATTTGAAAGGTCTTCTAATATTTGAAGATGAAGAAGGAATTTTACGATTGAAGTCCAGATTGATAAATGAGGAAGAATCGAAAGATTTTATTTCTCCAATAATTCTACCATCGAAACACCTGGCAGTGAGAAGATTTATAGCCCAAGAACATATTGCTAACAAGCATGCTGGGACATTAACTCTACTGACTATTTTACGGGAAAGATTTTGGATAGTGAAAGGGAAAAGAACTGTCCGGAGTGTTATCAAAGAATGCTTAACATGTAAAAGGCAAAAGGTAAAACATCTTGAGGTACCTTTTCCGCCTCTTCCAAAAGACCGAACAGAAGAAGTAGCAGCAGTTTTTCAAGTATCAGGTGTAGATATAGCTGGACCTCTGTTGACTAAATCTAAACAAAAGGTGTGGATAGTACTTTTTACTTGCGCCGTATTTAGAGCTGTCCATCTTGAGCTAATACCTTCACTGAGTACCAATGACTTCATCCAAGCTATGCGTAGGTTTATAGCCAGAAGAGGACGAATTTCTGTGATGTATTCAGACAATGGTACTAATTTTACAGGACTAAATAATGCTCTGAAACAATTAGATTGGACTACAATTGAAAGTGAATTTAGAGTCAACGAAATTCGTTGGAAGTTTAACCCACCCTCCTCTCCATGGTGGGGAGGCTTCTGGGAACGCTTGATTGGGATTTTGAAAGATCTTTTGAGAAAAAATCTTGGACGCTCCTGTTTGTCTTACGAGGAATTGCAGACTCTCGTCTGTGAAATGCGAATCTATCATGAACAGCAGACCGTTAACTTACATATCCGAGGAACAAGATCTGAAGACCTTGACCCCCTCAATGTTTCTTCAGGACATTCCATTAAATGATGTTCCTGATTTGGATCAAATCAAATTGAAAAGACTAATATTGTTTTGAGATGGAGACATATTCAAAAGGTTCGTGAAAATCTAAAACGAAGGTTTAAAAGGGAGTATCTGGGTTTCCTTCGTTCTTCAGTTAACAAAAGAGAAGATAAAATAAATGTAGGTGACATAGTGTTAATTGGTACAGATGATAAAAAAAGGCTCCATTGGCTGCTAGGGAGAGTACTGGAACTCTTTCCAGGAAAAGATGGAATCATCAGACTTGTGAAACTGCGAACTGAAAAGGGAAACATATTAAGACCAATCCAACGACTGTTGGAATTGACCCCAAATTACGAGCAAGTCGTATCGGAACCTCAGAAGGTTCCGGAAGTGGTAGCTGAAAATCCTGAGCTTAATACTGACTCTAACTGTTCGCGTGTCTCGCTCAGGACGAAAAATAAAACCAGTTAAAAGACTGGATTTATAAACTTCTAAACAAACTTTTAACTTTTACGAGGCTGTTACACATTTTTAGACATGATTCGATCCAAACAATTCAAATCTATTTTAAATTTCATTGCTCCTATCTCTCTTCGAACCCAATTCCAGTATTCCTTGAGTGCGAGGTTCTATCCTATCTCCGAACAGCTTTCCAGAGTCCTGTTAGGGTTTGGGGACAACGTCTGGATAATGCAATTTTTAAAAGTCTGAAAGCACAAAAATCCATAGGTGACACATCGGGAAATTTAGTAGGGATATCAGTGAAGGGTATGGCCTTGATACCAGTTTTTTGTTCCATTTCTTTTAGGAAATTTACAGTGGATTTTGATGTGTGACTGCTAGCTTTGTCCTCATGGAATCTCACAGATTGATGGCACTGTGGGTAAAGCGATGGTATTTCATTCAGAAAAAAATTGGCGATAAAATATGTTCTTGATAGTAGTTGGAGTTAATCTTGACATTTTTTTTGCACTCTCTTTATTTTTAACTTGCCATTATTAGAAAAACCAACAACAATCATGAATCCCTTAGAAAAACTTTCTTTCGATTCTTTGAACCATGTACTTAAATTTTTTCTCCTCTTTTATCATAATAAATGGCTCTTTTTTTGTTACAATCATTTAAATAACCCATGCTTCATCTATTGTGACAATTGTTTTCATTTTTCTTTGGATAAGTGTTGTGGAATCTAACTTTCAACGAAGTCTTAACAGCTACATGGCCAGCGCACACCCAGATCTACGCCTACGAAGACGAAGCAGCGTTAATAGTGAAAGGTCGAACCCGAAGAGAATTAGAGACTCACAGTAACGAAGTGTGCCCACAATTCTACTCCCTATGTGACAACCTTAAACTGAAAATTGCAGAGCACAAATCCAAAGTGTTATTAATACCTAAAAAGGGAGGTTCTCTTTCAAGAAGACCAACCATTAAGATCAACAATCAGAGAATACAAATAGTCAATCAACTAAAATATCTGGGCCTTACGTTCGACCACAAGATGACCTGGATACCACACATCCAGGACATCAAAATTAGAACAGTGACAATAGCGAAGCAAATGCGATTATTTCATGGCCACAAATGGGGCCTCAATCCTCATATTCAGAAGGTCCTCTTCACCACAGTGGTGGAAAAGATAGTCACTTATGCAGCAGCAGTATGGGCTCACCCAATGCAAAGCAGGAAAATTAAACACCTTTCTACCATTCAAAGACCCTTTGCATTGGGTATCACCAGAGCCTACCGCATGACCTCTTCAGATGCGATGCTGGCTAGCCTCCTTCCCCTACACATCCGTGTCGAAGAGGAGGCAGCAAGAACTTCTTTTGTTTTTGTTTCGGATTTTTAGTTTAAATTGTATGTTCAAAATGTGGCGTGTTTTTTGGAGACATTTTAGGCTTAAAGTTCGAAATGTAGGCAAAAAATTTAGATAGCAATATGGCAGTGTGGAGTTTCTCGCCAAAAATATTTGGCGACTTGAGGGCGCATATCGGAGTCGTTCCCTACCTAGTAACCTGGCTTTAGTGTAGAATTGGGTGCCCCTTTGATTGGCAACATTTTTTTTTTTTTTTTTTTTAAATTTTGGCGATGAAACCTCACTTCTGGTTACCACGATAGTTTTAACTTTGTTTTAGCTTCCCGATTTCATTTAAATGGAAATAGATTGATGTGTACATGGACATATTTAAGGCAGTGCGCAATGCCTAGTTTGTGCAATTCTAGGATGTTTTTTAAGTAAAAACAGATCGATGTGTACATGGACACAGATCTTATGCAATTCTTTGACTTCTTATTTTGGTTTTGTGTAGCGGCCATCTTGAAATTGTGACTTCCTGGCACCGATCTTGGCGTCAAGAAAGAATCGCCAATAAACAAGGGGCACCCAATTCTAAACTTTTACCAGTAATCTTTATCACCTTACCAAAATGTCACCAAACTGCCTATTATCATATTCCAAAGATTAGCCGGGGGCAACATTAATTTTGTGATCAGACATAAAAAAAAAAGCATTTCATTGTCCTCCGTGTTTTTTTTTTTTTTTTTTTTTGGTGTATGTGTGAGCATGTGCATATGTATGTGATGTAGTCTAAAATATGAAATAACAAACAATGCATTAAAAAAAAATGCTTCCATTCACTCAATTGTTAAAATTTCAGATACCCTGCTAAGTAAATGATCATTCTTACAGCTAAATATAAAAGTGCTCAAAATTAAAAAATAAATAAATTTTTTATTGCATTTTGATGAGCATCCTGTCCAAATGAATGAAAAAATTAATTTTATAAAATGAAATTACATATGAATAAAAGCACATGTTATACAACCAGTGCAGATCTAAACAGTTAACACATACATATTTTAATTTACATGAATGCAATTATAACCTGAATGTCTGAACAGCTTATAATAAAATTGAAACATGTGCTTTTAACAATTCAGTATTACTCAAATAAAACACTTGCTTAATTTAAAGCCATCAAAATGTTATGGAACACACTTGAATTATATTTAAAAGACCAATATAATATAAGATCTTAAATCAAAATAACTTCCATTATAATCTAAGCAAAATATGTGTATATTAATCATAAGCATTTTGATATTTAGGGCACTAAATCATTAATTGGAGAACTGATATATTTAATTTTTATTGCAAAATGTAGAGTCGAGAAATAACTTTTATTTTTATCTGCGGACATCAAAATCTCGAAACTTACCAATAAATCCAGATATGGGATAACCAGACAAATCTACTAGAAGGAGCAGTGTTAGAGCACCAATATAAATTTCTTGTATAACAATCATCCAAAAGAAACTTTTAACAAACCTCGGTAAAACTACCTGAAATAAATACATATGAAACATTAGGTATCCTAGTATTAAAGAAAAATTATTTGAAACTGTGTAAAGTGTCTCTTAAGCAGAAATATTCATAATAAGCTTTTACTTACCTCATCTTTAAACCACATGTTAAGAATATTCAAAGAAGAACTGATATGTTCCTTAGCTAAAAGCAACATATAAAAATTAATATAAATTTTCTCGAAATCATGAATATCACTTCCGCGCACAAATTCAGATTTAAATATATGTTCTTCTAAAGTTTAGTTGTCACCCTTCTACCCCAGAAACCAGGAGCGGTCAGTTTATTAAACAAGAATTGGAATACATGGTTTAAAATGAAAGCACTCGAAAAAAGAAATATAAAAAAAATCTAAAGGTTTCAGATTTAAAATTACGTCCAAAGGGGCGTTTTTAACGTTTTGTGTGTTATCTTTATTTATTAAATATCATGTTCTTTGTACTTAAACCATAAAATTCAGTTCAATAGCTATGTCGCAAAATAATTTTAAAATGAGCATATCTTTAGAATTTCCGAAACACAATTCCGCGCAGGAGATCCGTAGCAGTCTTGCTTTTAAGCAAGAAGAAAGGAGATGAGGACTTTGGCGAACGCCGTTTCCTCCATTCCGTGAGGCTCGGTAAGTTAGAAGAAGTTGGCGGCCGAACTTCGGAATTCTTAGATTGGAATTGTTTACTAATTCTGCAGGAAGGAAGTATTGAATGTCCTCTTTATAGCAGAATTTGGCGATATAGTTCCTTAGATGATTGTATTTTTGACACTCATTCAGTCTGTGCTCAAAATCATCTCGTACTTGGCAATTTACGCATAAAGAAGTGCTTGAAAGTTTTAACTTCAATTTAAGGTAGTTCGTGAGGATAATTCGAGTGAGGATTTTGTTAATTTAACATTCCATTTTCCTTGAGTCGGGCCAATTAATATTCAAGTATTTGGTGTTAAAGACATTTTTAAAATGACAATAATGCTTCGCATTCTGCCAGATAGTTTCAAGTTACCCCTCCTTGTTTTGTTTAATTTCCTTTTCGATATCCTGCCATGGATATTTGGTGGTCGTATGCTTAATGCATGATATAATTAAAGAAAATAAGAGTAGACAATCTCCTATAACAAAAGAATATATTAAGTACTAAATTACAATTTAAATTACATTGCAGAGATCAACGCAGAGCTCGGAACACAGTTCATGCTACCGTCGCGTACAGTTGTCTGACGAGAAGTCTGAGTGAGTAATGACGTCGCTTTGCTGCTCCGATTGGATTTTACACGTGGCGCCATCTCATGAATAGAAGTTGAAGTATCTGTCGGAACGTCACAGATAGGATTGATCGGAGTATTGCGGGAATTAACTGCCTTTTCTGCCAAAAAATCTGCCCTTTCGTTGATCTCGATGCATTTGTGACCAGGTATCCAGCAAATTATAATCTTAATATTTGGCATACTTTTGTAAATTTCACATCGAATATTCTCAATTATGTTGTTATTTGAATCTTCGAAGGAAGCAATGGCTTCTACTGCCCCAAGGCAGTCAGTGAAAATTATCGTCGCTTCGGAAAGGTTAGCTAGATATTTCAAAGTGTATCTAATTGCTGAAACTTCGGCGGTGTATATAGAGGCGTTTCTTTCAATCTTGATGGCTCTGTTCACGGTATTTTGTAGATTTGTGATTTAAAATCCGGTTCTGTCCAAGTTTTTGGAACCGTCTGAGCCCCATACGTTTTCTGCTTTGAAACCCGCAGTCAAATTTTTCATAAAAAGAGCGTAATCAGTGACGAAATCGTAAAGATTCTTTATATCGTATTACAAAACTTGCTAAAGTTTATCCAAGGCGGAACCAGTTTCTTTTGGCGAACAACGTTACTACCTAAAATCCATTTAGATTCATAGCTGTAAAGAACTACCCTTAAACCCTTTCTTTCTTAAACCTTCCACCTCTAGGGCGGGTAAAAAGTGGGCGGCTCCGCGAAATTTTTGATTTATGATGGATAATGCTCTTTGCCATTTTTTTATCTTATTGTAACGTGGAATAGCTGCAGTTCACCTTATAACATCTTTGGGAGCAAAATGTCCTACCCCTAAGGATTTTATAATCGCTTTATTGATCTCTATATATCATACTTATTTTGGGAGGAGAGAGATTCTCCCCACCTGATTTCACATCCGTATATGAGCTGGGGAATTATGATCCGCTGGATGACCTTTAATAAGTTTTTTGTTCTCATTCCTTGGGTTGGGTGGGAGAGGATTTTGATCAAGTTTAAAGTGTTATTTAATTTTTTAACTAGATATATGCCTCTTGAGCGCTGGAGATAAAAAGTTTCCCTCCGTAGAATGTTACCATTACTCGCTTTGAAATCCTTGAGTTTGTTAATCAAAACTCGTTAAAGTTTTACAAACTATGAAATCGATAATAAAACAAATTCCAAATTTGTGCTTTCAGATGCCCGTATTCGAGTGGAGGACTACGTTATTCAAAATTTGATGTCTATAGGTACCGTTGTTTACATACGTACATTCGTGCAGGTTCTTCATTATTTAATTTCTTTAAATATAAAGCAGGCCTCGGATATTCGTCGGAGAACAGCCTTGACACCAAACAAGGGAGAAACAGCTCATTGTGAGATCAGAATATGGTTGTCTTCCGGTGACGTACTTCCTCTAGGGAGACAGCTATGATACTTTTCGCTGTGGCTCATCGCATCGACGGTGCGAGTAGTCACTAATAAGAGTCTATTTGCACGACCTACGTTAGCGCATGCGCACAATCAGCCCGGGTACAACCATTTTACGCCGAAAATTGTTAAGAACCAGTATTATATGATTAGTTTTCATTTCATAGTTTATTTTATCGCTTTTAACTTATTTCATATCTAAACGTTCTACCTAGAAATAATCTAATTTTATTACCTTTTCTCAGACAAAAAATGTCAAAGAGGAATGAATTAAAAAATCTTGATTGGGCAAAACACATCTTTGAATCTAAGTGTATTCTGAGAAGTACAATGTAAGCAAGATTTTAGTCCCCCCCCAAATCAATCATTTAAACTATTCCAATCATTCAGGAAAACGGTAGACATTGCGAACATAAAAATCTGCCATTTTTTATACATACATAAATAAAGGAAATGTGTTCCTTCTATTCTATATATGTAAGAAAAGGAACACATTTCACTTTCCAATATTTTGGAAGTTGCCAACGCTTAGAAAATAATAAAGTACGCCAACGTAGTGACTCACTACAAGTCACTTAGGATTCGTTCTTTTCAATTTTGTTCAAATGACGTTTCCGAAATTGACAATTCAATGCGCATGAGTGGCTAATGTTGGTACGAACAGCCTGAAGAGGCTAATCGCCCAGGAGGTGCTACTGGTGCGATTGCCCCTGCCGATACGTTTCCCCTGCTAAGGGCCGCAGTGGCTAATCGCACTGACGGTCCGGATAGCCTGTAGGAGAATAGCCTCTAGGGAATACCCTCTAGGAGGCTAATCGCACGTTAGCGCATGTGCAAGATCAGCCCAGGTAGAAGCATTTACGCCGATTTGCGGTAAGGCAGGCGGTAGCGGGAGCATAGAGCTGTAATATACAGGTTTATAACAGTGGAGCTGTATATAACTGGACTATGAGCGGGAGCGACTGTTGTTAACCTTAACTGAGCGATAGCGAGGGTTGTTAACAGTTTCTGCTTATCTTCCTTGTATGCGATTTCTTTGTTAATTAATTTTTAGTTATTTTTACTGAAATTTACGTGTTATTTTTTGACATAACATGAGGAAGATGGATGTGACAAATCAGGGTTTAATTTCTAAGATTAGAAGTGCCGGAGCCCTATGGAGGACAGTCAGCAAAGAGGATCAAGAGTAAACAAATAAATAAAATGTCTATTTAACTCATTAATAATTTTAAAATTAAATAGTTAATTATTATCAAATTAATTAGTAGCTATTTAATTGATGTTTATAAATTGTTATTTAATCAATAATTATTATATAATTAATTATATTTTAATTGATAATTATTAGAAAATTAATTATTATTTATTGAAATAATTAAATAATTAAAATTAAATAAAATGTAAAGAGATAAATTGAAATTTAATAAGCGATTTTTTATATACAATTTTATTGTTAAATAAAATTTTCGAGATAAAATTTCTACTGAAATTTTTATTTAATTACATAAAAGAAGTGCAGCAGTCTTCTTATTCAGGGCTCCAGTGCGTTCCAGCTAGAATTATGATTTATTACAAAAACTAAGAAGAACCGGAGTCGAGATCCGGTGGGCTCCGGCCCAATTTAAGCTCTGGTCGTAGGGGAGAAAGTTCTTTTATCATCACAAAAATTAAATGTACTTAAAGTATAGCTGATGAAAATTCCAGGGCGAAACAGAATAAGGGTATGAGTGGGTGGAGACAAAAAATGAGGGGAATTTTGGTGAGAGAGTACGTTCTCTTTGACCGCGGCTCTCTGCTGATATAATTATAGCCATCAAGCAGATGGGTGTCAGTGGTAAAATGAGTCCTGAATCTGACTCCTAAGGATGAATGTAAAGTTTCTGTTTACGTTTCCCCCCTAATTAGTGGATACTATGGGAAGACGATATATAGGACGTGCTTGAGCAGTTTATCTCAGTATTTCACTCTTATTGTACTCGCTGTCACTTAACGCACATTTAAGAACACAAATTTTCCTTTCTGAGAGGATAACTAACTGTAAGCATCGATAACAATACGCTAGATACGATGGCATGGAGAGAAATTTACGCGTTCCTAAACAAATTCCCCCAAATTTATTGCCCTTCTTAAAGGAAAATGTTTCTGCATGTGAGTGAGGGGACTTTACTTGAACGTCTCATGTTCTCATGAGCTCATATTTCTAGAGAAATAGGGTATTGCAAGGTCTGCTTATTGTTAAATTAAAACGTTATGAATTCTAAATTTTTTCCCTTTAAATTGTGGTTCCGTTTTATAAAAAGAAGTACCGGAGCTCATCTTATTTAATGCTCCTGTGCACTCCGGCTAGAATAGTAATTTATCTTAAAAATTGAGAAGTACTGGAGCCGGACTCCAGTTGACTCCGGCATAATTTAAGCACTGTGACAAATACAAATTTCTTGCCTTTTAAGTGTGAAAACAAGTTTCCATATCTTTTGAATTTGAAAGGGAAAAGAACGGTATGAAAATCAAAATTTCTCTGTTTTGACTAAAACGAGATCGGAAAAATTTCACAAGGGTCATAAACAACGTGATACGTTATTGTACAAATATGTTACCTTTGAATGTAAAAAAGAACATATTCATAAACAGTCATCATAAACAGTTGTATTCGTATTCATAAAAAATTAAATTCTTTTATTTAATACAGGAATTTTCATGCAAACTTAGTCT